TCAAAACAATAAACGTGACAACACGTATTCACATTGTAAAAATACATCACTATTCAATATCTATTTACTTAAATACTACCCATCAACTGAAATGAAGTATTCATGGCTGACTCACACGACAACCAACAAGACAGAAAAATATGGAAAGAATCAACAAGGAAAACAGTTGAAATTGAAAATATGAATGATGGATAAATGTCTGTCATTCATAAGGGTTTAAAGGAGAAGATAATAAATGGAAAACATCAAAAGAAGATATTGAAATGTTAAAAATGGGAATTGAATCTATTGAGAGTGATGGTAAATTAATGTACAAAATCATAGAGAAGAGTGATAAATATTTAACTCAGAAATCTAAAAGTGAAAAAACAGAAATAAAATCAGAAGAACTCAAAGAAGAAATAAATAATCATGAAGAGTTAGTAGAAAATATTGACAAAGGGAAAGATTTCATTAAAATGAATGGAAATATGAAATAGGTAAAGTTCATTTAGAAATAACAAATGAAGATATTATTTTTATTGTTTGGAGGATTTTACAGTCTATTGTTCAAAACAACCTATTGGACAACATGGTATTTATCAAAATGATGTAAATATGAAAGTATTAAAAAATCAAATAACAACACTTGTAGACTCTAAAGTGATAATTAAAATTATTTGTTTCATTTGTTCTTTCATTACAGAAAAAGAAGAAATTCAAGAAATTGTATCTTCAATTCATTTAAAGAAAAATATAAACAGATATTAACAAATGGTGATGAGAGAATTATTGAATGAATGAATTATACATTAAATAAATTTAAACACAAACAATTTAATAATCAAATCATGTTTATTGAATATATTTTAATTAAACAATAAGTAAAAAGAATAATAAAGTAATTTAAAGTGAAACAATGAAAGAATGGAGTTAATTATCAAAGAGATTATATTTTTTGATTAAATTGTTAAATGAATATTTTATTAATCATTATGAAACATTACAAATCAAGTTAATATTTAAATGAAATAGAATATAAAATGTTTATAAAGAATAAAATGATTTAATAAATGATTAAAAATGAACAACACTAATATTCTAATGAAATATTAAATTCAAAAGAAGAATGAATAAAATAAAAATGATATTTAGATTATTATTTAAGATATTAAAGATACAAATAAATAAATGAATAGAGTTATTTCATTTTGATGATAATACGATAATCATTTTATTTAATTGATGAAATATTTTTGTTTATATTGTATTTAAATCAAAATAATAAATAAAGTTGTTATTTATTTAATTATTTTTGTATTACAACACTTGTTTATTTACAATACTTGTTGTAGATATCTTCAAATATTTATTACATATCTTATTAACAAAATAATAATCTATGAATAAATTAATAAAAGTAAATTAATGAAAAATAAAGTGTATATTATCATATATTACTTAGAATCTAATTTGATATTAACTACTTTCTAACTCTGATATATTTGTTTTATTTCATCAATTTGTGGTATTTCAGTATAATCAATTAAGAATATAATACATTTGATTTGTTTTAAACAAATTTAATTTAAACACTAAGATTTTCTTTTCTATTACAAAAGATGTATAATTGAGTTTAATTTTCAATGAAGTAAAATGTTTTTAAATGATGAGACATTAGAATAAAAGAAAAAGAATAACTAAGAAACTAAATAGTATTATCAATGAATAGTTTTATTCAAATATATTTCATTGAATATTTAGTTTTTATACACAATAATTTGATAAATAATGGAACAATTTTATAAGTTTTCATCATTAATTTCAAATCAAATAAGAAAAGAAGTTGAATGTATTAACAATGGATATTTTTATATTAAACAAATAAAGATAATTAAACAACAAATCAACATGAGTATAACTAATTGAACTGATGATAATCATTCATTTTCAATTCAAATGTATGAATTTATGAAATGGAATATGATAAAATTCTTTTTAAATATCCATTGTTTATTGTTGATTTTGTTACTAAATGAAATCATTTATCAATTATTTCTCAAATACATAATTGGTTATATTTTATCATTACAATTTCATAGAATCATATCTCATCAAAAAGATGGTCAATATCAAAAATGATTAATGATTTATCAATCCATTTAAATATTAATCATTATTTCATTTTGTTTTTATTTGATTTCTTCTTTTATCAAAATAAATATAAATATCATTCAATTGATTTATATTTGATTTATTTGATTTGTATTGATTAATTAAACAATTTGTATTAAATATTCTTTTTGTTTATTATACTTTGTTATTTTTTGTTTATTCAACTCTTTCATTCTTATATTCATTATTTATTATTCTAGTTAGTATTTTCTTATATTAATAGTATTTATGAGTTTTCTGGTATTTCTGTTTATCATTTCATTTACTTGTATTTAATACAATACTTCTTTTTCTTTTATTATTCATTATTCTTAAATTCATCATTCAATTGTTTCTCTTTACATTAAATAATCAATATAATGTGTATTTAATATTATTGAATTACTCTATACATCATTTGTTCATTTGTTAGTGAATTGATTGTATTGTTATTATGTAATGATGATATAAGTTAATAAATTATCATAACTCATATTCCATCATTGTACAAATTATAAATTGAAATCATTAGTATTAATGATGATTGATTCTCTTTCTATCTTCTTATGAATTGAATTTCATTAAAGATAAAGAAAAATAATAATCTGATCTAAAAATACATAAAAATAAAAAGAAATAGTAATAAACAATAGTAAAATACTATAATAAATATAGTTTTGATAATAGTTTAATTTTTAATAAAATAAACTATTTTGAGTATTATTTAATTAAAATACTCAAGATTCATACTTAAAACTATTTCAACTTTAAATCAAGAATGGAACATAGAACAACATCAACCAATATCAATAATAAATCAATAATGAAATTAGGATATAATGAAATAATGATAACATCAATGTATTTTGGTGATATTAAAGATTTTATTAATTTAGAAATAGGAATTAAAAGATTTCAAGGAAATATGGAACGATTTCATTTTAATCCAATTCCTTTAAATGAACACTCAAGAAAGTTGTTTCCTAATATTGAAACATTTCATATTTATAATGAAAAAGATGAAGAATTTGATGATAGAAGAATATTTAAACAAGTAATATGGTATGATATTAGTTATTCACAGTACTTAAAAGAGAAAGAAGAAGGAAATGAATGTAAACATATAAAATACACAGAATGTGATAGAGAAAAATATGGATGTCCAATACCAAAGAATGTAAGTATTATTGGAGAGAATTGTTTTAAAGATTGTTATGATTTGACAACACTTAATATCCCAACAACAATCACCAAATTAGGAAACAAATGTTTTGACCAATTTTGGTCACTTGCATCAATTACTATAGCAACAACAATAAAAGAATTATGGGAGAGTTGTTTTGATGATTGTTATTCATTAACAAATATTTCTAATGAAAATTTAATGTTTGTTAGTAAAGAAAGGATATTTATGAATGAAGCAATATTGATGAGCATTAAAACACCAAAAAACTTACAAACAATAAATGGAAAAAGAGTTAAAATGAAAAACATTAATCAATTTAATATTCCATCATCAATACATAAATTAGCAAATAATTGTTTCAAAGAATGCACCTCATTAACAACAATTATTATCCCAACTACAATTAATGAATTAGGAAAGAATTGTTTTGCTGGTTGTTCTTCATTAAAAGAAATTGTTATACCGACTACAATCAATGAATTACCTGATTATTGTTTTTATAAATGTAAGTCATTAAGTGATATTACCATTCCATCAACTATTACTTCATTTGGAAAATACTGTTTTTATGGATGTGTGTCAATGATGAATGATAACTTATCAACAAAGATTAAAGAAATAGGAGATTATTGTTTTAGTTGTTGTATATCATTAACAAGAATTACTATACCAACTACAATGAAAGAAATACCAATGTATTGTTTTGATGGATGTAAGTCATTACTTAATGTCACCATTCCTTCATCAATTAGTAAATTATGTGATGGTTGTTTTAAAAAATGTTCATCACTAACATCTGTTACTATTCCTTCATCAATCTTATCATTTGGAAAGAATTGTTTTTATGAATGTATTTGTGCAGATATGTTAAAAGAAAATGGTGCTGTACCAGAAGAGTGTTTTAAAAGAATTGATGATGTTTATTTTGATATATTCTAATTGATAAAAAGATAATTATTAAATCATTTCATCAATATTAGTAGTATTAATTCTGTTTGATTATTTTGAAATACTTTCAATACTACTTTAATTATATCTTAAAAACAAATATCATAACATCACAGATTTGAATTAATAATATATTGATGAATAATGAGTAAATGAATATTTCTAAATTATTTTAATTACAATTTTTATAAAATAAACAGTGAGATGTTAAATTATTATATAATAATTCTGATAATCATTTTAATCCAAAAGATAAATCATAAATTGATAAACAATGATTATTAATATTTTATATTTCTTTATTTCGTATTTATTGTTAAGTTATATTTATTTTTATTGATTTGTTAATTATATTTATTTAATTATTTATATTTGTAGTTTATTCTTTATATTTATAATTTGATAGATGTTTTATTTCATTTTCATTCTAATTAATTGTTGATGATTTAGTTATTGTATTTTATGTTATTTCTATTTTATTGATTTATTTTTATTTGTTGTATTTATCTTGTTATTTCTTATATCTTTTATTTCTTTATTCATGTGATTTCTTCTATTCTTTATTTATGTTATTCACTTTTCTATTATTTTCTTGTATTATATTAACATTTGTTAGTTATTTGTGTATTTAATATGTCAATCATTAATGTGATAGTTATTATATGATTTCATTATTTGTTATTGTATTGTTTCTTTTAATTCGTTAAACTTATCTTTTTGTATTTTTGTATCATATCTAATTAATCATTTGTTATTTAAATTAAATTCTGTTGTCAAATATCACTTGAATCAAAATAAATACTAACAAGATAGAAAACAAACAAATAGATGAGATATTTAAACACAAAAAGAACAGAAAATCATAAACAATGAAATCAAATGATTGAAATAGTAATGAAAAGAATACATAGATTATAAAATAGAATAAAGAAAATAGAAGAATTTAAATAGAAGAATAAGAATAATAAATTTGTAGAGATAAGAAGAAAATAAAAGTAGAAATAGTAAAATGAAGTAAGACTAATAAAGAATATAAAAATGAGTTGAAAGAAGATAAATAAATATAACAAGAAAGAATAAAGAAGTAGAAAGTTGGAGATGGTAAAGAAGATACAGAAGAAGAAAGTAAAATAAAGAAAGGATGATGGAATAAAATTACATAATACAAATAGAGAGTATAAGAATATGAATGAAGTATGTAAATATATA